CCTGCTGGGGAACCGGCTCAGGGGCAGGAGGGTTGCAGGGGAGGTGAGAGCCCAGAACTGATCCAACACATACCCCACAGCCCAGATCCCCTCCTCAGGGCTGATCTGTCCCTTCCTCCTCACAGACTCTCTGGCCACCCCCACAAACCAGCCTCCCCCACCACCCACCTCCACCTCCCAGCAATGTCTCCCAGAGGTGAATCCCTCACAGCCCAGTACACAGGGCTCAGTGTCAAATCTTTCAGGACTGTCAGGCAGATCCTGCCATGTTTCTTCCCATCTCACGCTTTTCCAATCCTCAGACAGGACAAGTTGGGGATGAACCGTGTCTGGATCCAGAGTCACGTTCACTGGGGGGAGAGAGAATCAGAGCGTTGGAGGCAGAGCTCAGCCCCGGGGAAGGTTGGGACCATTTCTCACACTCCCCAGCAGCCCTGTTCTGGCTGGGACAGTCCTGGCCTGGATCCCAGGGAGCTGCCTTTGTCCTGGGCACCTGAGGCTGAGCAGAGATGTCACTGCAGTTCCTCACTGTTTAATAGGAATCACTTCACTTGTTTTTCATGTTTGCAGAGGCTTCAGTTCCTCCTGCTGGGGCTGCTCCATTCTCAGTGACAGAGACACAGCAAGGAAGGTGTCAGAAGCTTTTGGTGAGGAGGGATGAGAAGAGGCAGGTACCAGCTTTAAACCCCAGAGGGAAGCTCCCTTCCCTAATGCAGCCTCCACTCCAGGGTCAAGGAACAGAGAGGAAGGGGCAGCATTGCGGAGCGCCAATTAAGACCAGAGAGTGGGAGGTGGCATTCGGTGGGGTAGCCCCATCCCCAGCCCAGAGAGAAGGGAGAGGGGCCAGCGTCAGAGCGAGAGCATCTCCCCAATCCATGAAAGAGTGAGCAGCTCTAATGGGAGAGCCCAGCCCTGCCCAAAGGAACGGCAGGATGTTGGAGAAGAGTGATGGGGAGACCCCCTGCACTGGGGTGAAGGAGAGGGATCTGTCAGCACTCAGGGGAGGGAGCTCTCATTCCCCTCAATTTATATTAAAAGTCCTGTGATTGTCTATGAAAACCCCAAGGTCAGAGTTAAGGGTGTTTGGATGCTACTCTGGGAGAGTGTTTCTGATCATCAGTGTGGGCATGAATTCAGCAAAAAAGGTTGGTGTCAGGATTGTTTATGTGACCTCAGCTTCTGAGCTCCTCACTGTTTAATGGGTTTATTTTTCGGGTTGGGTGCCATGGCTGGGGTTGATTTGGTTGGTAACTTTAGCTACAATCTCATGAAGATGTTTTCATTGGAATTTTCTCATAATTTAAACACATTCTCACCCTGTCTGAACGATCCCATTTAAGCCTTGTCCTAGCCATCCCGACTTTTTTGACAAAAATGGGATGCAGAGGAACGAGCAGGGGGGCGAGTGGTGATGCCAGCCCCAAACAGGCGGGGAGGCAGAGCTCAGGCAGGGAGGAAGGCGGGGCTGAAGCTAGCAGCGATGCCAGTGCATGGGGGGCAGGCAGTGCTTGGGCAAGCAGCAACACCAGCCCTGTTGGGGTGGAGCGGGGAGGGCTCGGACTAGGCCCACACGGTGTCCTGTTTTCCCTTTGGGAAATTTTGTCAACCTACCTCTTTTTGTCGCCAGTGCAGACGGCAGAGTGTCTGAATGGGGAAAGGAGGAAAGAGATAAAACTTGTGACTCCGCTATTCAGTGGCTGCAGAGGCTGGTGCAGACCTTGGCACAGGCTGAGGAAGTTCTGAAGCCAGCCAGAGTTACATCCCTATGACAATGGGCCCTGTGTGTCTTGCCCAGTGTGCAGAGTGTCAGAGGCCCAACTTTACACTGCCCATGTCCCTCTGTGCCTCGTCCACCCCCTACCTCTTCCACCCGCCCTCACCCCCCCCACCCCATTCCCAGCCCTCTCAGGAACATGCCTTGTGCCTGCAGCTGCTGTGGAGGAGGCACAAGAGGCTCCTGTGCTGGAGGGATCCCGCACCGTGGGGGAGGGGCTTTCTCCTTCCATACAGCCCATGTGCCCAGACTAGCTGCTATACGGGACCAGAGCCCAGTGATGGGCTGAGTCCAGCTCTAACAAATGGCCTTTCATTTAGGGTCTAGATTTTGGGTGCTGACCTTAGACACCTGGGGCCTGGTTCTCAGAGGGGTTGGGCACCTGCAGCTCCCACTGACTCCACCTGCAGCTGTGGAGGCTACACAGCTCTGGAGCACCTGCCCTGCAGCTCTCTAGTTGGGAGAGAGAAACTCAGGTGCCCCAAATTAGGTCGTTTTGCTAAATTTGGGCCTGAATGTTGTGACCTTCGGTAAGTCGTGAATTTATGTAAGACATCCTGATGCCTGGGCCCCCTACATCTCCTCAGTTTATCTGCTTTCCACTAGTTATTATGTTCAGAATTGAGAATTGGTACAAGGGTCATGCAGAAGTTTGCACAGACCGAGATTGTGCGTTTATACTGACTGACTGGCAACTGGCCAGTACTTCTTTCAGTATATCTCATTTCTTACTTTCATAGTAATTGTAATTGCAAGGCATGCTTTAGATACAAATAAAGGTTTGAATTAATCAACCTGAGTAACTTCGACCCCAAGTGTGTGGCATTCTCACCCAACAATTAAATACACACATAATCTAATTATGAACCAATTGGCCAGAGATATTCTCCTCCGATAGACTCAGATGCTCATCCCAATTTCCCCTCCTAGATCCCTTCTGGTACCTTTGAACTTCCTCACAGTCTCCAATAGCGCAATAGTTTTCTGGGAGAAACCACTGACTCGCTCTTCCAGTTCAGGAGAAATCTCCTCTGGCTGTTGGAACTTCCCCTTCTCACACCTGGACGGAATAATTTCATGTGATTCTATTTCATGTATTGACTCATAAGTTCTTGCTAGTGAGCTACTTCTCTAATGGGCCTGGAGTTAGAATTCCTCGACTTCTCCCAGCCTCAGAGCAGGTGCAGCGCAGGCCATGGCAGTGAAACCTTCCCCCAAAAGGACCCATTAATATTCTTCAACTCTGACCTGGAGATACCAGCTCTGGGGATAAAAGGGGAATTGAGTCTCCATGGCCAATTCACTCCTTCGCCTCCATGCTCTGATGGACAGGAGGTTCCCAGGTGAAGTGTTGTAGAAATCTGACCACTAGGAACTAGACTGAGACACCAACTCCCCCCTCCCCAGCTCATTCCACACAGGTCTCCAAACAGTCCTCAGATGAGACAGACTCTTGGACCACTGCTACCCTGGGCTGAATGGTGACCAGGGCCCCAGCAGTGAAAGGCCCATATTCCATCCTCACTATCCTGAGGCAGCCAGTCCCCCAGGGAGGTGACATGTCTAGGAAATACTTGAGGTCAGTTTTCCCCACTGTATGGATAATTCCAGAATCTTCTATAAAAGGGTGAGAACCTCAGGATAAAATTGATCAGAGAGATTTGTATCCAGAATGTGACCTTCCCCACACATTTTGCTGTATAGCCCCTGCGAGATGCGGTGCTAACATCATCTCCAAGCTCTTTCCTAGCGTTGTGAAGTGTGAGGGGGAGTGAGAGAGAGATACACGTACCTGCTCAAGGTGCTTCTGACATCCTAGAGGAGAGAGAGCGAGAGAGTGTATTTCAGTCCCACCTGACACACCCTTAACACTCCAAAGAAGGGATTTTGGAAGTATGGGGGAAAGAGGCCATAGGCGCCAACTTCCCCTCTAGCCAGGGGGTGCTTGACCCCCCCACTCCACTCCTTCCCCCAATTCCCACACCCCGCCTCTTCCCACCCCGACCCCTCACATGCCCCGCCCCCACTCCACCCCCTCCGCCAAACCCACGCCCCCATCCCACCTCTTGCTGACCGCTTCTCCCCGCTCCGCCTTTTTCTGCTCCCTGCCCCCAAGCACGCCCCATACCCGCTCCTCCCCCGCCCTCCCAGAGCCTCCTGCATGCTGCAAAACAGCTGATTTGTGGCGGTTGGGAGGCGCTGGGAGGGAGGGGGAGGAATTGATCAGTGGGGCTGCCAGCGAGCAAGAGGTGCTGGGAGGAAGGGGGAGGGGGGAGCTTGGCTGCCCATGGGTGCTAAGCACCCACTAATTTTTCTCCGTGGGTGCTCCAGCCCTGGTGCATCCACGGAGTCAGCACCTATGAAAGAGTCCCTTCCCTGGCTCCAGGGCCATGGATTCCCTGAGCTAATGGAGCTTGTCCATCTCTAATATCAATGTGTCTGTGGCTCTGCAAAGAATAATAATAATTCACATTTCAGGAATGCACACACTGAGTTACACTGTGATCTCTGACTGCTGGACTGCTGTGCTCATGTTTTAGGAACAGTCCTGTCCCTGTATTGGGATCTGGAGTATTTCTAAATCAGTCTCACCTGCAGGAATTCACTTGTTGGCTTCTGACACTTCCCCTCCATCTCACTGAGCAGCTCACTGAGACAGGAAATCTCCTCCGAGAGTTTGGTGATATTTTCATTCTGTATCTTCACGATCTCCTCATTCAGCTCTGCCAGCTGGGCCAGCAGGAGTCGCTCTTGTTCCTCCAGGAATTGCCGCAGTTGCTGAAATTCAGACACAATCTTCTGCCTCTTGGTTAGTGTCTTTCTCTGTAACAAAAAAATAGGGAACGGGCTGGTCAGGGACATGGATGGAGCCTGGGGTCCTGTCACAGAGTGCTGAGTGTGCAGGAGGGAGAATTTCTTTGCAAATTTTAAGTCACCTGACACTGTGCAATGCCCTGTGGTTACTAGAGAGAGGATTTTCTCACACCTTTCCTTTTGGCCCCAGAATCTCATAAAGGGACATTCCCACGTCTGACACGGCTCGAATAATGTATTATTGATGGCCTCGGAGATGCAAATCCAAAACAGCAGGAGGACTCAGCCACTAGAGCTGGGTGACATTTTCTGCACTAAATTTTTTTTCCAGGGAAAAATGCAGCTTTGTCGACACTGAAACGTTTCATGAATTCCTGTCACTGTCACTCAGTTGTTTTGTTACAAAGATAAATAAATGAAAAATCAAAATATTTTCTTTTTAATTTTTTTTCCAGGATTTTAAATGTGAAATTACTTGGTGGTTGAAAATTTCCTTCTTTTTTATATAATTATATATTTTTAAAGAAATGGTCAAAATTGAAACAAAACATTTTGATTTTGTCAAAATGAAACATTTCTTTTGACCAAGAAAAAGTCAAATTTATTATTTGCTGAAAATATTATAAAAATAATTTTTGGTTCAAGCCAATTTTTTTTTTAATATCTAGCCAGGGAAAAAGATCTGGTATTTGCCCAGCTCTACTCAGAACCAGGTGGACAGAGACAGATGGGGAGAAAAAAACAGATGAAACTATGACACGAAAAACTTCAGACTCAGGCAGAGAGCTGTGCTTTTGATACTCAGTTCACATTGGGAAGATTTTTATCACAGCCACAAAAGCTAGAAATTAATTCACTAATTAAAATGAAAGCTTAGAATCTGTAGAGCAACATGTTATCCTTTTCTGGGGAGAGGATTTTTCAGGCCCTTTATATGGATGCACATATACACACACAGTATCCCAGGATCATGAAGCAATGGACAGAAGTCCACATTCCCTAAGGCCACAAAGCAATCATTCACAAGAGTGAAATGTGAAGGAAATAAGCTGTACTAAAAGATAAATTCTAATGAAAAGAAACTGACTTAACAAATAAGGAGGATGTGAACTGTAGTGAAAATAGTAAGGAGTGTAAAACAACATCTCTGGACAACACCCTCAGGCATACAAGGTGAATGACAGGAATGGGGAAATTGTCAGAGCACAAAGGGACTGTAAGTCAGAAGGGAGCGGAGGGATAGAACCCAACACATCACATGCCGGAATACATGACTGTATATAAACTGGAGCTTAAAACTGTAAACAAAGATTGCACAAGAGGATTCCCCAAGACATAACTAAACATCCTCCAAACTCTGGGCTTATAGAAGACTGAGAACTGTGAAACTGCAGAGTGACCGTGTATCAGGGGGGTTGTTCTAGTGCATTGGATTTTCTAATTCAAAATTCTGTTAGTTCATAAATATAAATAAACTGTTACCTATAAAGGGAGTCTAATTAAACTAATAGTAGCTAATATGGAGTAGATAAAAATAATAGTTTACAGTAGTTTTGGGTTACCATATTTCCACAATCAAAAAAGAGGACACTGGAGGGGAAGCCCCGCCCTAGCCCCGCCCCCATCCACTCCCTCCCACTTCCCACCCCCTGACTGCTCCCTCAGAACCCCAACCCCCCCTGCTTCTTGTCCCCTGACTGCCCCCTGCTGAGAACGCCCCACCTTAACTGCCCCCCAGGACCCTACCTGTCCCCTGACTGCCCCGACCCTTATCCACTGGCATGGGTGGCAGGGTTGTAGAAATTTTGGTGGTGCCCAGAACCGCCCCCCCACCTGCCTAAGGCTCTGGGAGGGGGGTTGGGTGGGGGGAGGAGGTCTGGCGTGCAGGTCCTGGGCTGGGGATTAGGGTGCAGGAGGGGTGCAGGGTGCAGGCTCTGGGATAGAGTTTGGGTGCTGGGTGCAGGCTCCGGGCTGGGGCAGGGGGTGGGTGTGCAGGAGGGGGTGAGGGGTGCAGGCTCTGGGATGGAGTTTGGGGGTGGGAGGCGGTGCAAAGGGCGGGGGTGCAGGCTTTGGGAGGGAGTTTGAGGGCAGGAGGGGGTGTGTGGGAAGTGGGAGGGGGTTTGGGAGGGAGTTTGGGGATAGGAGGGGATGCAGGGGTGAGGGCTGTGGGTCTGAGGATGAGGGGTTCATGATGCAGGAGGGGGCTCAGATATGGAGCAGAGGATTAGGGTGTGGGGGGATGAGGGCTCTGGCTGGGGATGAGGGGTTCATGATGCAGGAGGAGGCTCAGGGATGGAGCAGAGGATTAGGGTGCGGGGGGATGAGGGCTGGGGATGAGGGGTTTGGGGCGTTGGAGAGGCTCAGGGCTAGGGTGGAAGGGCAGGGTAAGGGCAGCCTGTCTTCCCATTAGTGGATGGGGGACGCTAGGACCCGGGGGCAGCAGACAGCAGTTGCTGCTGGCTCTGGCAGTACAAGCAGGCAAGGGAGAGGCAGGCAGGGGAGGGGCTCACGGGGGGGGACGCGCGGAGGGAGGGTGGCAGGTGGAGGCCGGGGACCCATCCAACACTCCCCCGCTCCCTGACCGCCCCCCCCCCCCCGGACTCCCCTTACCATTCTGGCTCCACGTGTAGGCAAAACACGCTGCCCGGTGGGTCGGTTTGTGTGTTACACAGGGCTGCAGACAGAGGGAGGGGGGAGCAGGGGAGGGCTCTGGCTGCTGGAGGCCAATCGGAGTGGCTCAATCGGCCCAGCCACCCAATCAGCAGCCGCACTCTGCATGGAAGGGAGGGAGGGAGGCCAGGAAGAAAAAACCCCCGGACATTTTAACCTTGTTACCAATTCCTCCCGGATGGCTATTTAGAGACGCAAAAGCCGGACATGTCCGGGGAAATACGGACGGATGGTAACCCTACAGTAGTTTATGGCAGTGGTTTTCAACATGTGGCCTGCAAACCTCTTGGGGTCCGTGGACTATGTCTAAAGGGTCCACAAAAGACTTAGACTGAAAACAGACTGACCAGAATTCAGCTATACAGACAGACAATAGATTTCCAAAGGGGTCTCTGCACCTCCATTCGAAATTTCCAGAGCGGCCCGCAAATGAAAAGAGGTTGAAAAATACTGGTTCATGGTGTAGGCCAAAGCAGTAATTCCTGTTAAAACAACTAATTTTGATTTCCTTGTGATTATTCCCCACTTAACGAATTTCTGCTTTACCCCCAAGTGATTGAGATAAAACATAATTGGGCCTCTAGATTGCCCCGGCCTCTCCTTATTGCTCTGATTCAGAACGCCCCTCCATCCGGCTCGTTAACAATGCAGGTTAATAATAACAGACACTTACCAGATATTCCTGGCTTCTCGTCTCTACACTCACTTTACATCCCAGCAGCTTTTCTCTCTCTTCCCTCAGAGTCTTCAAATGGGCCTGAATCTTTTCCTGAAGAAACAGAAAATGATTTGAGCGGTGTTATTTTTACATTTAGGAGTGAGAGTGTGTGTGGGTGGGGAGCTTTTCCAGCACAAACAAACAAACACTCTACTGATGAGTGGAGAACCCAGTAGATTTATGATATCAGATATACCAAGGAAGTGGAGTCATATTACTGGACACTGGGAGTGTTTTATTTTCAGACTCCTTGACATTGTTTGATCTTGTTTCTCCATTAATTTACACCAACATGAAACTGAGGTCAGATCGTTGGATTTTTCATTCACTATGTGAAATATCCTGTTTTTAAGAAGGTTTAACAAACAAAGTGATACAAATTCCAGAAGCCACCAGGGCTTGAAATATGGGCTGGGATTCTCAAAGGAGCCCAACTCCCACTGAATTTCAGCCCTGAACCCCTGGAGACTGGACTGCTTGGAATGAAATGGTCTGAGCATGAGGGCAAACCCTATTAGATGTGTTGATTTTTGACAAGAATGTTTGGCATTTGCGCTAGTGCTGTCCTGAACCCTTCCAGTGCTAATGCTGCCCGGCTAATGCTGCCCAGATCCCAACAAAGCTCCCAGAAGGGAGTTCTAGAGGTTTCAAAATTCTGTGCTGTGGGAAAGCAGTGTAAGGACTAGTGAATCCACTTTGGTTGGTTCTTAAGACTGACACAGGTCAGCACCGCCCAGTGGTTAGTTTTGCTCCAACACAGTCTAATCCCCATTGTATTTGGCATGTACCTGTGCTGCCTGGAGCCCTTTTGTGCATGCACTGAAAGTCCACAGGGTCTATGGAGTGTTTAGCACAAGCATCTCCTTTAGTCTTGTGCAGGCCGGCATCAGAGTTAAACTTCTCATGGAGCAACACAGGAGTTCAGAATCCCAGTGGGAAACCTCATCATCATGCTGGGCCTGGCACCTTTATCAAGGCGTCTTTTCCTCCTAATGGCCTTTCTTAATTATTGCTCAGTCAGGAGACAGCTGTATCGGAACCCTCCCAGCATTGGGTGAGGCAGGCTCGGCAGAAAATATTCCCACCCTCCCGACTGACAGGTTCTCTGAAATACTCCAGACAGGTGGAACAAGTAGGTTCATGCTGGAATCTTTCCACCAAGTTCTCTGCAGCCATAACCCCTCCGTGGAGAGCTGGACCCAACCCTGTGGGACAGGAGCTGCCACTGGGGCTGAGTATGGTGGGTGGCAGGTTCTTCACTCCCTCTTCACTCCAACGTGTAAGACTTAGGACGTTTATCGAGGGCCTCACTTCTCCACCTGCATGACCCTTTGGAGCATTCCCAGTTGCTGGGAAACCTACTTAGGCCTCAAATCCCTCGTTCTTCATCAGTGGAGGCTCATTCAGTGGCTGTCTGGGGCTCAGGGAAACCCTAATGCTGGGGGAAGGTGACTTTCCCAAGGCTCTGGCTATAAAAATAACAGTTGGTCATTTCCTACCTTGAATTCTTCGGCAGCTTCCTCTGCAGGAATCACGGTGTGATCTCTGTGCTCCTTGGATCTGTCACACACCAGGCAGATGGGGATTTCGTCCTCTTTGCAGAACAGTTTTAGAGGCTCCTTGTGTTTCTCACACAGTCTCACTGGTTCTGGTTCCTTTCCTGTCTGCAACCTGAGTTCTCTGGCTACTTCCACAATATTCCTGAGCTGCCTGTTCAGCCTGAGGTTCCTCTGGGGAAAGATCTCTCTGCACTGAGGGCAGGAGACATCTGTATCAAATTCCCCCCAGCACTGAGTGATGCAGGCTCGGCAGAAATTGTGATCACAGTCTAGAGACACCGGATCTTTAAAATACTCCAGACAGATGGGACAGGTCACTTCATCCTGGAGAGTTTTTGCTGGATTTGCAGCAGCCATGGCTTCTAATGCAGGAAAGAGATGAGAGAGGAGTTTAATTTCACTTCCTTCTGCTCAGAAATGGGTTGATTGATGTTTGCATTTTTATTAGGCGTTTCTTTTCTGGGTGCGGTCACATGTGTTTGTTTTTTGTGGACTGTAAAGAATCTTTGAATGAAGTGTGATGAGTAGGGCCCTACCAAATTCACGGCTGTGAAAAATGCGGCATGGACCATGAAATCTTGCTATTGTAGGGGAGAGGCAGGGCTGGGGGCACCTACCATGCACTAGTTACCAGCTGCTAGTCCCAGCCTACTTTCTCTTCTTCCAAAGCCGTCTCAGACTCACCTCTGGGAACCTCTCCTGGCTGCAGGAAACTCCATGGCTGCTGGCTGAAAGCCCAGCTCTGAAGGTAGTGCAGAAGTGAGGGTGGCTGTCAATCCCCAACCAGAGTGGAAGACTTCTGGGAACACCCAAACTTATGGTACCTCCCCCCCCCGACCCTCAGTTCTTCACTGCTGCTGGTGGGGGACACCACTATTTACCTCTCTCCATTCTGAAAACTGACCATTTATACCTACCCTTTGTTTCCTATCTTTTAACCAGTTACCAATCCATGAGAGCACCTTCCTCTTATCCTGTGGCAGCTTACTTTGCGTAAGAGCCTTTGGTGAGGGACCTTGTCAAAAGCTTTCTGAAAATCTAAGTACACTATATCCACTGGATCCCCTTGGTCCACATGTTTGTTGACTCCCTCAAAGAATTCTAGTAGATTGGTGAGGCATGATTTCCCTTTACTAAAACAATGTGGACTCTTCCTCAACAAAGTATGTTCATCTATATGTCTGACAATATTGTTCTTTATTATAGTTTCAACCAGTTTTCCCGGTACTGAAGTCAGGCTTACAGGCCTGTAATTGTCGGGATCACCTCTGGAGCCCTTTTTAAAAATTGGTGTCACATTAGCTATTCTCCAGTTATTTTGAACAGAAGCTGATTTAAATGATAAGTTACAGACTATAGTTAGTAGTTTTGCAATTTCACATCTGAGTTCCTTCAGAACTCTTGGGTGAATACCATCTGGTCCTGGTGACTTATTACTGTTTAATTTATCAATTTGTTCCAAAACCTCCTCTAATGATACCTCAATCTGGGACAGTTCCTCAGATCTGTCACCTAAAAAGAATGGCTCACATCCTCAGCTGTGAAGACCGATGCAAAGAATTGGTTTCTCCGCAATCAACTTCGCTGATATAAAGCAAAGTTAAGTCGTAAGCAAGAGGCAGGCCCTGCTCGCAAAATTTGGCAAGCACAGGACTGATGTTGCAGAAACACATATTCCTAAGAGGTGCTGGGCACAGAGCACTCACGCAGGCACATTCCAGAAGGGTGGTACCAGAACATCCAGATACCAACACATTCCCCAAAGAGAACAGGAACACACTGATCCCTCCTATAGATAAGGTCAGGATGACAGCATGATGGATAGAGATATTTTAATCAAACCGGCATATACAAGGCAATGGGTGGCACCTTGATACGTCAGAGGCAATACGCAACTTGTTTGTATCGGTGTATACAGATGTATCTCAGAAGGAGTGTCTGTGACCAGACTAGGGAGCAGTGGAAAGTCCCACCACTGACTGAGCTACATCCATTGTCACGAGCATAGTTGTCTTAGTCTCCTTGTAGAATCTGCCAGGTGATATTACTGTGCTTCGTCGACAATATGCCTGGCCGGGTGCTTTCACTGAAAACCGAGTCTGTGGATTTATGGGGTAGTTTAATTAAGCTCTGCTGTCTCTGCTATCTGCGCAGAGCTGGGACAGCACACTGAATAAACACACGCAGCCAACATCTGACCACACCTATGACGGTGAAATTGACCAAAATGGACCCTGAATGTGGTAGGGCCCTACAGATGAGTCCAAATTGACATGAACTCCTCCAAAATGTTGCAGATACCCCACTGCCCTGCAGCCTGCCCTGTCCTCTAGTCACTCGCTTGTAAAAATTAGAGCTGGTGAAAAAAATTTCGAATGGAACAATTTTTCTATCAGAAAATGCCATTTTTTGAAATCCAAACTTTCCATGGGAACATGTCCACTTGGATGATTTTTTCCAGTGAAGCATTTCAATAAGGTTTGTGACACTGTATGGAATATTTGGGACCCTTTATGATATTATTGATACAAAAATTATAAAAGTGCAATGAATCTTACCAGATATACCCTGTAATGTATCAGTGGGAATCACATTTATATGTTTGTATCATGAGTTAGGAATATGGGTTGTAGCCCACGAAAGCTTATGCTCTAATAAATTTGTTAGTCTCTAAGGTGCCACAAGTACTCCTGTTCTTTTTGCGGATAAAGACTAACACGGCTGCTACTCTGAAACGTGAGATCTATCTGTATTTCGAACTTGTGCTGTGTATCTGGGTGACACCCCCAGAGAGATTGGCATCAGCACTAGTTAGCCTGTTCGATGGCCCATCAGCTGTACAATGGATCCATTGAAAAAAGCCAGGGGCTACACCTGATGAGTCAGCAAGACATGTAGGAGCATGCCTATGGAAGAGAACTCTTAAGGCATTTCCATGCCATGTGCTTTGAAGCTTGTGTTTGGGACACAGGAAGTACAAACCACATGGCAAAAAGAATATAAAAAGCAGCTGCATCATCTCCATTTTGTCTTCAATAATCCTGCTTCCTACCTTTCGACCAACTTCTCTACAAATTGAAGCTCTGAACAAAGGTCTGAATGACCTATCCAAGCTGTGGATGTGTTCCAGAGGGACTCTCAAGACAGCAAAATCACCAATACTGCTAAGATCCTGATATGTGGACTTGGCAGTCAGTATGCACCTGATTGCTTTACCATGTAACAACTCTCTTCTTGTTCTTTCCTTTTCTTTTCTTTTATAATAAACCTTTAGTTTTACACACTAAAGGATTGGCTGGCAGCTTGATATTTCGGGTAAGATCCAAACTAATATTGACCTGGCAATGTGACTGACCCTTTGGGGTTCAGAAGAACATTTTCTATAGTGAGCAGATTTTCAAATAACTTCTCATTGTACTGGATCTAGGTGCTGATTGGGAGCCAGAGAACTGGAATGCAGTAAAGCGGGCTCTGTGATTTCATTTTTTCAGCTTCTTGATAACCAGTGTGGGGGATCAGGAGCACCGTTTGTGACTGGTTGGTGACTCTAACTTCATTGTTAATCACCAGTTTTTGGAGAATCTGCTCTCCTTTTTCAGCCTGCCCTGACCTTGGCATTTTCACCCTGGGCTGCCCCAGGCACCCCGGGTCGCAAAGTTAAAATGTTCCCTTTTGATTTTTCAGTTTGGAACAACTTTGTCTCAAAGTTTATTTTACATTACATTATCAATTATAATGTAAAATCAAAAAGTCAAAATCAGACTAGAACTGTAGAATTTTACTGAAATTAAACATTTCAGTTCACCCCAAATTATTAGTTTTTATTTAGTGTTGCAGGGAGGTATTTTTTCATTCTGATTCAGTACAAAAAATAAAAACGGAATTTCCCTCAAAATGGACATTCTGGTTCCTGCACCGCTCCAATGCAAAGCAGCAACTCCTTCTACGTTACTAGACATATCCAGCACACGAGCCACATAGACAGCAACATCTAAAGACCTGTGACTGAACTCCTGTGCTCACATCTCTAGCTACTCCTTTGCACCTCCTTCAGTGAGACAGCCATGGAATCCTTTCCAGTAATTACACTGTGTGCAGATCTGATCACCCCATCTCAAAAAAGATTTATTGGAATTGGAAAAGGTACAGAAAAGGACAACAAAAATGATTTGGGGTATGGAACAGCTTCTGTATGAGGAGAGATTAATAAGACTGGGACTTTTCAGCTTGGAAAAGAGACAACTAAGGGGGGATATGATAGAGGTCTATAAAATCATGACTGGTGTGGAGAAAATAAATAAGGAAGTGTGATTTACTCCTTCTCATAACACAATAGCTAGGGGTCACCAAATGAAATTACTAGGCATCAGGTTTAAAGCAAACAAAAGGAAGTATTTCTTCATACAATGCACGGTCAATCTGTGGAACTCTTTGCCAGAGGATGTTGTGAAGGCTAAGACTATAACAGGGTTCAAAAAAGAACTAGATAAGTGACTGGATGATAGGTCCATCAATGGCTATGAGCCAGGATGGTCAGGGATGGTGCTAGCCTCTGTTTGCCAGAAGCTGGGAATGGACGACAGGGGATGGATCTCTTGATGATCACCTGCTCTGTTTATTCTCTCTGGGGCACCTGGCACTGGGCACTGTCGGAAGACAGGATACTGGGCTAGTTGGACCATTGGTTTGACCAAGTGTGGCCATTCTTATATTTTTATGTTCACTTCAAGAATCAAATCAGCATATGCATTTCTCAGGAAAATCTCTTTGGAGAGGTAGAAATGGTGAGAACATGAACCCGCCCTCCTGGAAAGTTCCATTTTTCAGTGAAAAACTGAATAGTGAAATATTTTTGTCAAAATGCAAAATATTGCAATTTGGAAATGTCACTGTGGTACCTGAAAGGACCTGTTCAGGTTTCTCAGGCTTCCATTCTCCTGTACAGACCAGGGATCTTGATAAAACGATATAAATGGGAGCCTAAGTCTCCCCTGGCACAGCCACCGTCAACCCACCACCGGATGCCTGGGCCATGGTGGCTCCACGTGCGCTCTGCCTCTTCCCCTCCCTGCTCCCCAAGGCCCCCACCACCTGCTGCTGCCTGGTGAGTGCCTCCTCTCCTCCATTCCTCCCTTCTCTCCGGAGGTCCCTGCCACTCGCTGCGTCCCTCCTCTCCACCCCCCTTCCCATGAGATCCCTGCCACCTGCGCATCCCTCCTCATCCCCATGCAAGCAGCGGGGGCTTTGGAGGGTGAAGGAGAGGAGAGATGTGGCACGCGGTGGGGGCCGCATGGGGGGGAGAAGAGAAGGGACACGGCAAGCGGCAGCGGGGAAGCTGAGCTGGGAGGGGGCCGAGTGGGGCTTGGGATGGAGCAGAGCTGGAGTGTGGGCAGGGC